CCTGTGGTCCCAGCTACTTGGGAGGCAGAGGCAGGAGACTCACTGGAGCCCAGGAGTTGGAGGTTGCTGTGAGCTGTGATGGCACGGCACTCTATCTAGAGGAACAGCTTGAGGCTCTGTCTCAAAAAATAAAAAAAAAAGACAGGTTTCATAGATTGGAGGAAAACTAAAAGTTTACTAATTCCATTCTTAAGAAAGTTTTTGGAGCATATCATATCCTTACCTCTTGTTTCCTGGTTTCCATGCTAATCAAAATTGACTCATAAAATTCTCCTTATCTGTAACAATGGTTTTTATTCTTCCTAAAATAATATATTTTGAATGTTGATTTTAGCTAAATGAGAAGAAAAAATAATTGCTGAAAGTAAACAGAAATTTTAAAATATTATAAAACCTATTAGTTATCACTATATAGTTAATACATAATATGTTTGTGATTTGCTTAGTGAGCTTAAAACCTCAGTTGGTAAATTGACTCATTGTTTCCTTTGAAAAGACAAGAATTAACTGAAGAGATAGAACTACTTTCTCCTTGTTGGAAGTAGAAATGTGAAACTAAATTTGAGTGATACAGATAATAGGATGTTTGGGAACTTGGAGGCAATGTATTTTCAATTCTAAGTGAGCAAGACCCTCTTGGGTGTGCAACTTTTTTCCCAGATAGTCTTTTATTTCAACTAATCTTTTCATTTGATATGTTATGTTTTTATTTGGTACATTATAGTTGATAAGTGTTTTCACATCCATTCCATTATCTCAGCCTTACGATAACGCCATGAGGTAGTTTGGAGAGGTATTCTTACACCCATTTTACAAATGAGAAAACTAAGGTTTGAGAAGTCTGTGACTGTCCACCTTCATATACTGATAAGAGGAAATGTGATGCCAGAAGATGGAGTGGAATGCTGTCTTCTGAGTTCTAAAATAGAATCTAGAGTTAGTTACCCAGTGAAATACTAATGTATCTCAATAATAAAGGTAAAATATCTCTCTGACAAACAGAAAATCTAGCGTTACTAGAGATAAAGAAGGATGCTTAACAGTGAAAAGTTCAATTCACTAAGGAGCAATGGGAATGCGAAATTTGTATGTATCCAATAACAGCCTTTAACAATAGCACTGAATCAAATATATAATTAAATCAAATCAAGATTAAAAGTGGAAGTGGTCAAACCCACAGCTGTAGTGGAAGGCTTTACAAGCTTCTCTTGGTACCAGTGCAAATATAGTACATTTGAACAATGAGAATAGCAAATCTGACTTAACATCATAGGACATGGTACCCATTCATTGCAGAGTACACGTTCTTTTCAGGGATATGTGGAAAAATTAAAAATTTGATCATATTCTAGGCCATAAGCAAAAACAAATCTTAATAAATTTCAAAGGGTTAAAATTATATATTATAAAATTCTCTTACCATGGAATTAAGTCTGATATCAATAATAAAAATATTTTATTATTTTCACATATATTTGGAAATTAAGAAACCATTTTTAAGTGCCCTAAAATTAGGGAAGAAATCACAATGGAAATAAACTGACCTATCAAAACTTGTGGGATCAGAAAGTACTGACTAGAGGGAAAAACATATACAGATGTTAATCTATTAGTAAAAAAGGAGCACTGACAGCACCAATAGTGAAATGTTGGAAGTTTTCCCTTTGAGGTTGACAGTGAACTGTGGACTCCTGCCTCGCTACTTGTATTCAGCATTGAGTGGAAGTCCTCACAGTATAGTCTGGCAAGAGAGGAACTAAAGTTGTAAGGACTGAAAAGGAAGAAATATAATTATAGTGATTCACAGATAATGTATTACATAAAAAATGTGAAAGAATCAACCAGATTATCTTTGAGCTTTAATAAGGGAATTTAGGAAGGTCACAGATACCATCAGTAAATAAAATTAGAACAACAAAAAAGTAAAGAATGAAATATAGAAATTATGTATAATACATACATGTTTTATATATATACATATATATATATAATATGTACACATAACAGCCCTAAAATCAAATACTTATGAAGAAATCTAACTAAAGTTATGTAAAAATTCTATAAAGAAAACTATAAAATAGTTTTAAATATTGTTAAACTAATTTAAAAAGAATTAATGAGTTGAGACATACCATTTCTCCTTAAAGGATTCTTACAATCTCAAATAAAAATCTCAATAAGAACATATCATGCTTGTGGCTAGGAAGAATCAACATTGTTAAAATGTCTATATTTCCCAAGGAATCTACAGATTCAGTGCCATTCTCATTAAAATATCAACATCATACTTACAAGATTTGGAAAAAAATAATTCTTTGTTTTGTGGAACCAAAACCCCCCCCCCCAAAACACAAACCTTGTATAGCTAAGACAATTCTTAACAATAAAAACAAAGCCAGATGGGCAGTGCCTGTGGCTCAAAGGAGTAAGGCACCGGCCCCATATGCCAGAGGTGGCAGATTCAAACCCAGCTCCGGTCAAAAACTGCAAAAAAAAAAACAAAGCCAGGGGCATCAGCCTACCAGACTTCAGGCTGTACTGCCTAAGGCCATAGTGACCAGAACAACATGGTACTGGCACAAAAATAGAGAAATAGATATTTGGAACAGTTGTCTATGAGATGAAACTAGCATCTTACAGCCACCTGATATTTGATAAACCAA